GCCGGGCGCTGGGTGCGTGTGAGGCCGGCGCGGAGTCAAGTGGTGCCGGGGAGACCTCAGCCCTTCTTGGTGGCCCCGTGCCACGCCGCTGGCGCCCGTGGTGCTGGGCAGATGGTGGACACTGGGTGAGCCCCCATGCTGGAGATGGTGACACCCTCTTCCTGGGTGTGGGGACCCCGGGAGGTCCCCATGACGGTGGGGATGGCACCCATGGGTGCTTCTGCTCCCCTGGGGTGGGTGTTTTGGGCTGGGCAAGCCCTGAAGGTGACTACCCATTCACAGCAACGTGCTGGCACCGTGGCGTGGCTGAGCCTGGGCTACCCTGTGGTGGTGCTGGCCCATGGACTAGTGTGTGTCACCGCGTGGCTCCTGGTCGTCCTCATCCCCGTGGCCAAGCTGAGTGCCCGCATGGCCACCCGTGTCCTCCTGCTGCCCCCGGAGAAGGTCCTCGTCCGGCGCCTGAAGATGGTGGGTTCCTTTGTGCTGGGGTCCCATGCCCTGCTCCAGGGTGGGTTTTTTTGGGGTGGGGACAGTGCTTGGAGCAGTGTCACCCACTTGTCCCTCCACAGACCGAGGTGCCACTGGAGGGGGAGGTGATCCTCTGTTGCTACCGCGCCGTCAACCCCTACTACTACAAGTACGCCGTGGATGGCATCAACGTCTTCGCTGTCAGTATCCTTCCGTGGGCTGCAGGGCAACAGGGTTGGGGTGGTTGGCCCCAAATTCCATCCACCTCGGTCATCTCCTTGACCGGCCACCCCAGACCTGCTGCCGTTGGTGCTGGTGACGCTGGTGTTGGGCTACGTGGACAGTCACAACCACCTGACCAGCTCCCCCGTCAAGTTCACGTTGGCCCTACTCTCCATCATGCCTCTCTCCTACTACATCGGGATGGCCATCGCCAGGTGAGCGGTGATGATGGTGGGGACACTTGGTGGCAAGGTGGGGACACATGCCAGCCATGCTGACACCCTCCTCCTCCTCCTCCAGCATCTCGGCCCAGAGCAACTTTGCGGTGGGAGCTGTGGTGAACGCCACGTTTGGCTCCATCACGGAGCTCACCTTCTACATCACGGCCCTCATCAAGGGGACACGTGAGGGCAACCGCTGCTACGCTGAGATTGTCAAGTCAGCGTTGACAGGGACACTGGTGGGCTGTGTCCTCTTCGTCCCGGTGAGCCATGGGGTGGCACATTCATGGTATGAAGGTGCCTGGTCTCTGCAGAGACCTGGGAGGATGCTGCGAGTAGGAAATGCTGATGGAGACTTCTTGGGGGGCTTTCTCCATCCTCAAGGGTCTATGCATGGTCATTGGGGGCATCCGGCACCAGGAGCAACGGTTCAACAGCCGCTCGGCGGGCGTCAGCTCGGCCCTGCTCTTCCTCTCTGTGGGAGGTGAGTTGGGGACAGAGGTGTCCCCAGGTTTGGGGAGGTTCCCACCAGCATGGACACCCACCTCATGTCCCTCCATCCCCACAGGTGTCTTTGCCCCGACGCTCTTCTCCAAGGTGTATGGGAAGCTGGTCTGCGGCGAGTGCCACAACGTCACCCAGAACCCCCTGGGCCACTACCTCTGCCACAACTGTCACTTTGACCTGGTGAGTGGGGACATGGGACTTCTGATGAAGTTTGGGGCCAGGAGGGCTCCAAGCCCACCCGGCTCCTGCTCTTGGTGGTGGCAGTGGGACTGTCCCTTGTCCCCTGCAGCCCCGTTGACAGGCTCTCTCTCTGCAGATGGAGAACAATGGCACCCTCTACTACAGTCACGTCCAGTAAGTGTCTGCTGGGGTGGGGACAACATTGTCCCCACAGTGGAGTGGCACCTCCCAGGTTGGGCTGTGGCCCCTCATTCCTCCCAGGTCCCCCCACTTTGTCACCCTGAAGGGCTCCAATCCTGCACCCCCATCTCCTCCATCCCCAAATAGTGCAAGGAACCCCTCTGGGGTCTCCATACCAGATCCTGGTGGCACTGAACATGTCACCTGTGTCCCACAGACCACTGGTGTACACCGTGTCCCTCCTTCTCCCTGCCGCCTACCTCATCGGCCTCTTCTTCACCCTGAAAACTCACTCGCACATCTATGACATCCACATCAGCGGCTGCCACAGTGAGTGTCCCCAAAATGTGAGATGTCCCAGCTGCAGGGCTGGCTCTTCTCACCTCCCTGGGACGTCCTACCATGTCTCTGCTCTTCCCCCCAGTGCCTGGCCACCACCACAGCGCTGTGGTCCACTGGTCTCGCTGGCGGGCCCTGGTTATCCTCCTGCTTTCCACCCTCTGCATGTCAGCCTGTGCTGACCTGGCCACGGAGCACATCAGCCCCATCCTCACCAACTCCACCATCTCACAGGTGAGTGTGGGACGGTGGTGACCCAGGGGACCAAGATGTGTCCTCTAGGGTTTAGAGAAGAACTCTGCCCTTTTGAGTTCCAAAAGCTGGGGGAAAGATGCTGAGATGTTCAAAGGACTGGGGGAAAGATGCTGAGATCCTCAAAGGACTGAGGAGCTTGGTTGCCCACAGCTTGGAGATGGTCAGGATCAGGTCACATGCATGTGCTGATGTCCCCTCTTCTCCTGCAGTACTTCATTGGTGAGGAACTTGGTTGCCCACAGCTTAGAGGTGGTCAGGATCAGGTCACATGCATGTGCTGATGTCCCCTCTTCTCCTGCAGTACTTCATTGGTGTCACTGTGCTGGCGATGGTGCCTGAGCTGCCAGAGATAGTCAACGGCATCCAGTTTGCCCTGCAGAACAACCTCAGTTTGAGGTGAGATGGCTCAAAGGATGGGTTTTGGGGTGTCCTCCTCCACTGTGGTCCCTGTCCCGGTCCCATAGCTGTAACTCGGTGCCAGTGATGGGCTGCCCAGCTTCATGCTACTGCTGGGTCAGATCCCTGCCAACTTGCCCTCAAGAAGACCTAAGCCCACCCAAAAAATGGGGCCAGAACCAGGTTGGGCTGCATGATTTGGTTCCTCAAGGTGAGGTTTTCTCACCCTGAGCTGGGCAACCCAAGGGCTGCTGGAGGCCTGGAGTTCAGCAGCTCTAAAGTCCTCTGTCCTCCCTAGCATCGAGATTGGGAACTGCATCGCCGTCCAGGTCTGCATGCTCCAGATCCCCATCCTGGTGCTCTTCACCATCTTCTACGTGAGTAGACCCAACACAGCCCCTGGGTGACCTCCTGCAGTGGGGCTGGGGACACACAGCACTCGATGAAACGTGGTGGCAAGGGGACAGCTGCAGTGTCTCCTCTGCTCAGTGCCGGGGAAAGTGGGGTAAGATGTCTCCTACCTCAGCTGGTGCTGTCCCCAGCCCTAGGGACGTGTGGCAGAGGGGGTTTAAGGGGTGACATGCAAGTCCCCAGTCAGTGCAGGGATGTCCTGATTGGCCATAAACCCCAAATCTTCTCTGCTTCGCAGCCCACCAACTTCACACTTGTCTTCAGCGACCTCCATGTCTATGCCAGCATGTTCAGCGTGGTGCTCATGAACTACATCTTCATGGATGGCAAATGTGACTACTTCCAAGGTGACTGCCCACCTGTGAGGCTGCTGTGGGACTTCCCTGTGCTCATGGGGTGGGGGGAGCTCCTGGAGAGCGCCATGGGGGTCATCTGCTTGCTGCAGCTCTTGGGCAATGTGGTGGCTTGAACAATTCTGGGGCCTTGGTTGACCATCTGGGGCCTTGGTTGACCATCTGGGAGGTGCTGGAGCTGCCACCCTGCAGCAGCTCCGAGGGGGATCACTCCCCTTTCACCCTTTAAGAGGAAGTTCTAAACCCCTTTTGAGATCTTGCTGAGGACCATGAAAGTCCTCTACAGTGGGATTGTCTGGGCCACACCAGAAGGTCTTAGGAGCAAACTTCCCCCTTGCTCCAGGGGGTAACCTCCTCCAACCTGCTCTGTCTACCCTAGGCACGGTGCTGGTGATGGTCTACTTCATCCTCCTGGCTGTGTATTTCTTCGCCCCATCACCCAGTGGTTGCTGAGGTTTGGACTCCGCGTTCTTCAACCTTCTTGTTGGGCTCAGCGCCCGTCAAGGTGTTATCTGGTGTCTCAGGGACTTGGCTGGGCTGGATCCAGTCTGGAAGCATCATTTGCTGAAGCTCCTGCTGCTGCCTGGCTCCCCCAGTGGGGTGCCAGTGGAGCTTCAGTGATGGGAAGGGTGGTGGTGATGGAAGCACTCCTGAACCAAGAAGGAGCCTCAAGACCAGAGCACTTCACAGAGGTATTTCCAGCCCACGCTTGTATGGTTGGAAGGAAAATTGTCCCCAGTGGAGGGTCTTGAAGGGAATTTCTGTGTGGTCTTGAGGACGGACTCCTCCCTTGGGATATGTTGCACTGGGAGAAAGTGCCTGAGAAGAGCTTCTTGACCTTCCAGGTAGTAGGTGATCCCTGGCCTGGGAGGAATTTGGGTCTGGGGATCACACAGGGCTTCTTGATGGTACTAGAAATGCACCAAAAGGTATTTTTCAGCTGTTTTGTCATTAAAGCAGTTTTGTACGAATCAGAAACAAGTTTGTTTCTCCTTAAACGAGCCTTGGGTCACCTGTCTGGGCCCCTCTGTGCCCACCACCCAGGTTAGTGATGGTCTTGGGGTGATGGTGTGCTTGGTGTCCACAAAGGATGGCTCTCAATGATGTGGATGTTGGGCACCAGCGATGGCACAGCTGGAGCCAGCTTCCCTGGGAGTGGAGCAGGATAGCCATGTCCTTTGTCACAGCACCAAAGCAGGTGGCAGAGGAGATCCACCACTGTGCCATGGGGACAGAGCCACCTCTGTGGGCTCCAGCTTTCTCCATGACCCTCCCTAAGCTCCAGCTCTTGTTTCCAGCCTGCTCTTACCCAACTGTCCTGGGTCACCCTTGCTTTTGGAGGTCTGTAGCTCCTGAGAGAGGTCAGGGATGCTCCTGGTGCTGATGCAGGGTACGAGGTGTGACATGGCTGGGGACCTACTCATCTCCTTCTGCGGAGGGAAATGCCAGTGGGTGAGGTGAGAGGACAAAGCAGGTGGCTTGGACTGATTTATTAGCAGAGCTTTAAAAAAAAAACCAAAAAACACCCCAAACCAACCCAAAAGCAAAACACTGACAGGTACAGAAACACAGGCAATGTGGCTCCTGTGCCCCATCTCCCTCCCCAGCCCCATGGGGACCTGCTTCGGTGTAAAAACCAGGGAGGAACCCCATGACCTTCCCTAAGCTCCAGCTCATTTCCAGCCTGCTCTTACCCAACTGTCCTGGGTCACCCTTGCTTTTGGAGGTCTGTAGCTCCTGAGAGAGGTCAGGGATGCTCCTGGTGCTGATGCAGGGTACGAGGTGTGACATGGCTGGGGACCTACTCATCTCCTTCTGCGGAGGGAAATGCCAGTGGGTGAGGTGAGAGGACAAAGCAGGTGGCTTGGACTGATTTATTAGCAGAGCTTTAAAAAAAAAACCAAAAAACACCCCAAACCAACCCAAAAGCAAAACACTGACAGGTACAGAAACACAGGCAATGTGGCTCCTGTGCCCCATCTCCCTCCCCAGCCCCATGGGGACCTGCTTCGGTGTAAAAACCAGGGAGGAGGGTGCTGTAGGTCCCACAGTCAACAGAGGAACAGGACTAGACCTCAAACATCCCAGAGTAAGGCAGGGGGCAGCAGCCTGGGATCCTCCTCCTTCTCATTAGCAATTAATGATGCTGCCTCATCAAGCTTATTTTGTTTTCCTAGTAGGGCATCAGTGGGGACAATCCTGCTGCCATTAATATGGATGTCTGGGAAGGTTCCTGGGTGACACCCAGAGTTGGGTGATGGCAGCAGATAGGCACAGGGCAGAAAGAGATGGAAGAGGTGTGGGATGGGAGGCCAGAAGATGATGGCACCAAGCAGGTTCTCCTCCATCTCAGCTGAGGCTAAGCTGAAAACATCTACCCCGGGCTGAGGGATGCTTGGGACTTCTCCTGGAGGTAGATCCAGCCTTCATGTTTGGGTAAGTGTGGATGCTGCAGGTCCCTTTCCCAGTAGCTGCTGGTGGCTGCAAGGATGCCCCAAAGAGGTCCCACATGACCTCAAGCTGCTCTGCTCGATGCTGGGGTAAGTCATGGGGTGAAGGCAGCAGGGCTGTCTCACAAAACCCTGTTCTGAGATGGCTTTCTCTGTCTTGGTGTGTCCTACCCCCATCCTGGGCATCATCTGTGGATGCTTGTAACTCCTCTCCCTCCATCAGTTGTTGCAGATGTTTCCTTCTCCCTTAAGGAACTGGTCCTGCCCTGGCAGAGCTGGTAACACTCTGCTCTCTTGCTTTCATGTATGGAATTGCATGGAGGGAGTTGTCCTTAAAAGGGGAGGAACCACTACTTGGGCATTACCTGGGCTGGAGATGAAGGTGAAGACAAGCAGGAGATGAAGTATGAAAAGCCTGGAGCCATATATCCTTCAAGCAACATCCCAAAACGAAGCCTCTGCCACGGTGAGCCAGCGAGCACCTTCCATCATTCAAAAACTCAACATGCAGTAGACGAGCCGCAACACGAGCGAACCCTCAGGAGGGAGCTGTGAGCTTTGCAGAGCTTAAAACAAGCCATTTTTTAAGCAAGAGCAGCCTCCAAGATCTTGTTCCCACCATGCAGCAGCCACCCCAGGTTCCTGAGAGAGGAGATGCCCCTGGACAACACTTCTGTTTGCTTTTATGAGTAAAAGCAAGTCCCTGGTCCCTTATTTGGTAGCTCTCTTGGCCATGCGCCTCCTAAGTCCTGTGTGCTGGGGACACAGCACAGCTGTGTAGGAGGGGTGAAACCAGCTCTAGGCCACCACCTGAGGACACAGGTGGGCTTGCATCTTCAGTGGCCCAGCCAGTGGAAGAGGCTTGGGTTGGCTAGCATTGTGTTGGTGTGCCACAGGGACATCAAGGACTGGGTGGCTGAACGTGTCCCATGTCAAGATTTGAAGGTAAGGTTAAGTGACAGTGTCACTGGTGTCAGTATGGAGCCAGACGTGCTCCAGATCAACACTCACCATCTTCTCCTCTGGGGAAAAGCTCCTGGCTACCCCCAAAAGGTCATCAGAGCAAGGAAGACATAAGAGCTTAAGGAATCTACTTCATCAGAGATCCAGGCCTGGAGGATTCTAATATTGCCTTGGTGATGATGGGAGATGCTCTTTAAAGTAGGTAAGGGAAGAACCAGCACGTGCTATGACCAGGGTCTTCCAGTACAGAGGTCCCAGCAGAACTGGAGGCCAGAAGGTAAAGATTAAGTGCATTTGGCCTTCTCAAGAAAGAGGTCAGCAGAGGGAGCTGGAGAAAAGGCCAGTTGGCCCAAAGTGGTCTTGTAGAAGAGGACATCATGACCAGGGGAGGCAGAACAGGTACCTCTTCCCCAGCCCACAGGTGCCAGCAGGGTCTGGGGTTAGCCCCTGAGCTGGGAGCAGTGGGATCCTGCACCAAATGGCCAGCGAGGGGCTCAGAAGGGGCTGAAATGGGATGATGAGATTGTGAAACCCACCTCTGCCCCATGATCTTCATGTCCTACAGAGGGGACAGGTGCCATGGAGCTACAAGCAGCTGCCACCATTTTCTGTGGTTCAAAGCACCAGAGAACACTTCAGCTGTGATGCCCTTTATTTTTCTGGGCCTTAGGGGAAAAAAAAGCAGCAACTGGGACTGCAGAAGGGGGGAAAAATTTATCCCCAAGAACAGGGGAAGCTTAATGTTGGGGTGGGTGGTAACACTTCAGCTGAACATCTGGGTAGGTGCTCCTTAAGAAGGGGGGCAGTGACTCCATCAGCTGTTCAGATTAACAACATGAAGACAAGGCTATAGTTTATTTAAACATAAATGCAATCTCTTAAAAAGAAACTAAAATTCCAGAGTCTAACTTTTGCCTTTCAGGGGGGAAAAGCTGATTGGAAAAAAAAAAAAGGCACTTAAAAATGGTCTTCAACTGAAAAGGGTTTTGCACAAATCTGATGCCAGCCAAGGGGAGCTGATTGCAGTTTGATGGTCACCTCTAGAGCAAACTTCACAGAATATGGAGCACAAGGAGACAAGAGACAGACACCCCTTCCCCTCCTGCCCTGCAGAGGTGATGGCTGCTCACAGCAAGAGGGGGAGATGCTCCCTCTTCCCTTCTTTTGATGCTGCAGCTCCTGGGATGAGGGACCTGGGAGTTTCTGAGGACCCATCTGAAAACCACACGCAACAGTAACATCCCCCAGCCCTGGAGGAACATGAAGCAAACTAGAAAAAGGCCCAGGTGTGGTGTGTGGGAGGGAGGAAAACAAAAAGTTTAGGGTTAGAGGTTGATAACCAAGACTGAGCAGGGGGTAGAACATATTCAGGGTTGAAGACAGCTCTGAAATCTATGGGGTGAGTTTCTGCAGTTTGCTCCTTCTGGGTGCAACGTGAGCAGAAAGGGTCCAAAAAAGATTTGGCAAAACCTTTTCCCTCCCCACCCCAAGTAAACTACACAGTAGTCCGTTAAGCGCCAACTTTTAACCAGTCTTCTAAGCAAACCTTTCAATATGAAAAGGTGAGGAACATAGACGGGGTGGGGGGAGAGGGGGGTTGTTTCAAATCACTGCAACACGGCACCAGAAAAGCTGCACAGGCAAAGCTTCCCC